CCCTGTGGGACTCGGGTGTGTGGGGACAGAGGACACTGTGATTTACCACAGTGCTCAGGCCATGCTAGGCTCTTTTATAAAAACTATTTATTATTTCAGTGGCAGACGGAGGGAGAGAGACAGACAGACAGACAGCGCTCTCCAGGGCTGGGCCTGGGGCTGAAGCTGGGAGCCAGGAGCTCAATGCAGGCCTCAGATGTGGGTGGCAGGTCCTACTTGAGCCATGCCCTGCTGCCTCCCAGAACTGGCACATATTAGCAAGACGCTGGAATTGGGAGCAGAGCTGCAACCTGAACCCACGCACTGTGATGGGGGATGCAGGTGTCAACCACCACGCCAGACTCCCACGCCCAGGACTAGCACCTGAGAGGCAAGGTCAGGGATGCTGAATGGGGGAGAAATGTCCAGGTCCAGGCACTAAATCACCCACCGCTGAGAAACACTGATGGACAACCTGCAATATCCCACATGTACAGATAAGCTCAAGTCTTTCCTAAGAATGAAGCAGAAGCTGGCGCCATGGCTCACTAGGCTAATCCTCCGCCTTGCGGCGCCGGCACACCGGGTTCTAGTCCCGGTTGGGGCGCCGGATTCTGTCCCGGTTGCCCCTCTTCCAGGCCAGCTCTCTGCTGTGGCCAGGGAGTGCAGTGGAGGATGGCCCAAGTGCTTGGGCCCTGCACCCCATGGGAGACCAGGAGAAGCACCTGGCTCCTGCCATCGGATCAGCGCGGTGCGCCGGCCGCAGCGGCCATTTGGGGGGTGAATCAACAGCAAAGGAAGACCTTTCTCTCTGTCTCTCTCTCATTGTCCACTCTGCCTGTCAAAAAATTAAAAAAAAAAAAAAAATGAAGCAGAGCTATCATATGCAAAAATATCCCATTTGGGTTGTAAAATGAAAACAGTAACTACAAGGTTTAGGACTCTATGACAAGTTATGATCCCATGTGCCTGATGTACATATTTATACAATTTTTGGAAAGTAAAATCTTGACAATGGCTCTATTTGGAGGATGAAAAGAGAAAGTAGGTTTATTTTTTGGGGGGAGGGTGGAGAAGACAATAGTAAAAATAATTAGCTATCTTAATTATTTATTGCATTTATTAAAATGCTTTTTAAAAGATTTATTTATTTATTTGAAAGGTAGAGTTACAGAGGCAGAGAGAAAGACAGAGGTCTTCCATCCACTGGTTCACTCCCCAAAAGCTCACAATGGCTGGAGCTGGGCTGATCTGAAGCCGGGAGCCTGGAGCTTCTTCTGCTTCTCCCATGAGGGTCCAGGGTACCGAGGACTTGGGCCATCTTCTACTGCTTTCCTAGGCAGAGAAGTGGAGTAGCCAGGACTTGAACCGGCGCCCATATGGGATGCTGGCACTGCAGGCAGCGGCTTGACCCGCTACGCCACAGCGCTGGCCCCTAAAATACTTTTTAAAAACAAATGGCAGAATCAAGTTACCCCAGCAGTTAAGACACCTGCATCCCCATCTGGATTCTGACTCCAGCTTCCTGCTAATGCAGACCCTGAGAGGCAGCAGCGATGGCTCAAGCAACCAGGTCTCTGCCACCCGCGTAGAAAGCCCAGATGGAGCTCCTGGCTCCCACTCAGCCCTGGGCCCAATCCCATCTGTCTCCGGCATTTGGGGAGTAACCCAGCAGATGGGAGCTGTCTGTCTCTTCCCCTACTCCTCTCCAATGTATACATGCTATAAACATAAAATATATCGGCAAGAGACTAATCACCTGGTAACAAAGAGCAAAAAGAAAAGAGCTGCATCAATAAAAAGTTTAAATTTAAAAATTAAAAAATGTCTAGGGTTGTAGTTAAGACACTGGCTGGGAAGCCCACATTCCACTCTGCAGTCCCTGGGTCTGTCTCCCAGGTCCAGCTTCTCGCTGACGCAGTCCCTGGGAGTCAGTGGCAGTGGTGATGGCTCCAATGGCTGGTTCCTGTCACCCAGGAACCAGATTTGGATTGAGTTCCTGGCCTGAACCCCTGGCCTGGGCCTGCTGTAGGCCTTTGGGGAGTGAATCAGCCAAGTGGATGGGTGCTCTTTCTATTTTATTAAATGAAAAGAACATATTCCTCACATTTTCTGGGTGAAGCAATATATTCATCTTTCAAAGCCTTATTCCATCTTTCAGAATCCTATTTCATACTTAACACAGTTAAAAACCAAATACACATATGGTGACTCTGTAAAAGTAATCGTGTGTATGCTCCAACACGCCAGAAATATTCACTCTCTTTGTTAACAGATACTCAAATATCTGTTGTTTGCAGTGGCAAAAATATCCCTCAAATACACATGATTAATGTTTTGAACAGGAGATGGTTCATTTACCAAAAACTCCATCAGTATCTGCTTCAATTAGTTTTAGAAAAACAAATCGGTTTTCTTATGTGGCTCTAAAATTAATCTGGAAAGCAAAAACAAACAACTGCCCTGAAAACGTAGGCGCGCGGGACAGCCTCTCTCCACTCAGGGCGCACGCTCAGGGCTCTCTGGCCCACACTTTGGCTACTTCCACAGCACTGCTTCTTCCTTTCCCCTCTCCCTCCCATTTACGCTGGGCCGGCGGTAGAGGCCGCAAGATCCTGGCATTGGGGAACCGCCCCTCCCACCGGAGTCATGCCCTGCACAGATGCCGCAGAGCACTGAGGCACAGCAGGCCCCGTCCGGACCCCGTGGGACACGGCCCTGGCACAGCCTGCGCTCTACTGCAGGGGACGCATGAAGGGTCAGCAGGAGCAGCGAAACCAAACAACTCGGAGTCCTCAGGCGGCCACGGCCCGGCTGCTGCAGGCACCACTGGTGCTCACCACGGCGTTTCTCTGGGAGAGGACACATGCAGGGGGCAGGGGTGCTGGTCCTTTTCCTGTTCATCTGTAGGCGACGCCACCACTGCCCCAAACATGCTCCTGCGTGGCCCCACTTGTCCTCTGGCCAAGTGAGGGGACAGAGGCACCTAGCACTCGGGGCCAGCGGGGGCCCTGGAACACTGCGCGCTCTCACCCCCGTCCACCTCACTCTACACAGCTCTCGGCGTCTGTGTCCCCTTCGCGCTACCTCCACGGAAGTTTCTCAGGCGGGAAGCCGCTCCCCCTCCTTACACGCGAGACATAAAGGAACCGAGGCTTTCGCCGAGGTCCGTTCTGCATGTGGCACAGGTGGAGTGTGGAGACTGGGCGCGATGGGGGGGGTCCTTTCTCAGCGAACACACGCCAGAGACGGGAGAGGACCATGCTGCTGGTGCTCACCCAGCAGGGCTGGACTTTGGGGTTCACGACAAAGCGCTAGGGTTCTCAACCCCTGCTGGGTGAAAATTTTGAAAATCCTGGTCTCCCCATAAAACTGCACAAGCACACCACTCCCGTGGACAGCAGAAGGCAGGTCCACAGGTCTCATCAACAATCCACAGGACGTGGCTTCCTACAGTGCCGTGGGTCAGACAGGACAGCACCACCGACGTAAGAAAACGCATGCACGTAGCTGTGTCCCCGTAAAACTACGTGCAGACACTGAACTCTGAGTGCTCTGTATTCCTCACATCAGGAAACAGTCCTCTCGGTGCTGTTCAACCTGAGGAAACGTGAGAGCCACTCGCAGCCTGCAGATGCCACGCTGCCCTGCACCCTGCCCGGCCCTCAGGCAGCAATGAAAGCGTGTGTGTTCATCCGTCTCGAGGAGGCTGGAAACGGAAGGAGACCCGGGCTCCGATTCCCCTCTCCGTGAACTTCACATTGCCTGTGGAGTCCACCCCACCCTCCGTGCCAAGGAGTGTGCCACTCATGTTTATTATGAAGTCCTGTCCATGCACGCACCCTCTATCAGAGTCTGGCTATTCCACGTCCAATCCAGCTTCCTGCCGGTGTCCCTCAAAGTACCTGGAGACCTGGTGGAGTTCTGGGCTCCTGGCTTCAGCTGTTGTGGGCATCTGGGGAGTGAACCAGTAGATGGAAGCTCTCTCTCACTCTTTCTTCCCCTCACTGTCATCACTCTGAGTCCCTTCCACCTCTAAACTTCTTTGATCATTTCAAGGAGAGAAAGGGCCCCTGAGACAGAGGACGACTGAGACAGTCGGCGAGGCAAGGGAGGACAGAGCAAGCTGCTCCAACGCTGGTGTGGGCAAGCAGGTGAGGACCCACGCACACACATGCAGGAGTGCAGTGCACCTGCTCCCTAAGGGGATGGGGGCAGGGGGACATCAGCAACCCCCACCACTTCCTTCCCACGCGAGTCCAAGATTTATGGAAAACGGCAGAAAGCAGGTGTCCTATTAGAGAGTTCTGGGTGGTGAGAAATATCAGGGCCCAAAGTGGGACTTCCAGCAGAGAAACATCTAATAGAATTCAATCAAAACTGGAGGCCAGTGAGGCATGGGCAGGTGGGGGAAGCAAGCCAGCTGGGTGCTGTCTGAGGAGCCGGGCAGGTCCGGGTGAGGGGCAGCAGGGACAGGCGCAGGGGAAAGGAAGACCCGGCACACCAACCACGCTGACGGGAGCACTGGGCCTGGACAACGGGTGGTTGCAGAGAAACGACCCAGACTCTCGCTGCTCCGTTAGGCAAGCGAGGCCCTCAATGAGCACAGAAGCAGAGGAAGGAGACTGGCTTCCCCACCCACGCCGGCCACACTCGGAAACTGCAGGTGCACCCTTCTCACAAGAGGCAGCGACTCAGAGAGGCAGGACGGTAGTCGGCTTCAGACGGCAGGCAGCTACGGAAAACCAGTCACCTGTGCAGAGTGGGAAGCTGTTCCGAGCAAGCCCGGGGCAGGCGGCAGGCAGCTCGTGGAAGGCAAAGACGCACGGCGAGGGAAACACGCCAACGGCTCCAAGGAAAGAAAGAAGCTGGCGCTCCCGCCGACGCCGTCCCGGGCCCCTAGACTTACACAAGCGTGAGGGCCGCTTCTGGAGTAGGACCTGCGTCCTCTTGGGGCTGTCCTCCAGGGCGCTGCGTGAGCGACAGCCCGGGGCAGCCCGCCCAGACGCTGGGACGCTTACCTTTTCCGTTAACAGCTAAGCCCGTGGCCATGGCCGTGGTCACGGGGCTGGACACCTGAGGCACTAATGGGTGTATTCGGGGCCTGCTCCCCATCCGGGCTCGCTCGGCACCGGGACCCAGCAAAGCTCCAACGGGCTTCTCCGCGGCCACCTCCGGCGCCACCGTGTCCTCGGGACCCTGCTCGGCGGGGTCCAGCTTCTCGGGGCTCTCGCTTGGAAAGCCATCCACCGCGGTCCTGCTCTTAATGGGGTTCTTAGGCACAAGGATCTTGATGCCCGACTTGGCCAGGTCCATGTTCTTCCGGCCGGCCAGGGCCGGGCCTGTGTTTTTCCTGAACTTCTGGCTGGTGGCGAACAGCTGACTGTTCTTAGCCTCGTGTTCTTTGCCGATGACCAGCGCCTTGGGAGGGGTCTTGGAGAAGCTGCTGTTGGTGGACCTGGAGATCTGCTTCCTGGCGTTGTTGGGGGAGGTCCTGTTCGTGCGGGCGAGCGTGCCCTCCTTCTGCCTCTCCGAGTGGCGCCTGTTGAAGTCGTGGATGTACTCCTCGCAGTTCACCAGGTGCTGCTCGGGCTCCCACGTGTCGTCCTCGCTGTCGTAGCCCTTCCACCGCACCAGGTACTCCGTCTTCCCTTTCTTGTTTTTCCTTTTGTCAACGATCCTTTCCACCTGTTTGGAAAAGGAACCGAAAGTTAAAAAAGAGAAAGTATCAGATGTGTCATCTGAAGAGAGAACGGTTTCACAAGAAAATATCTGAAACAGAAAAGAAAACCAAGAGATTACGCGAAGACCAAGGAAATCCACTCTTCCCCGTGGTCACTGGGGAACACGGCACCAGGACACGTCAGAGATTTCGGCAGCTTCCTTGGCACGGAGTCAAATCAAACGCACAAGGTGTTCGGCTCAGAATGGGCGCGACGTATCTGGCTGGCTTGGGACTCCCAGGGACGCGTTTTGTTTCTGCACTCAGCCCAGACTGGCTGAGGGAGTTCTCACAGGGGTGACTGGAGCACCGCTGGTCCTCTGTGCCCATGCCCGGTCACCTGCAGGTGGCCCGCGGCAGCAGAGCAGCCGTGTGGCCATGGTGGAGACAGCACGCTCTGAGGGGCAGCGAGGGGCCGGGCGAGTGGGTTCCCGGGGAGACGTGGCCAGTGCTGCACATGTGACCCTGGGGCTCTCGGCGAAAGCCAGGAAGGTCTACAGAAGAGCTAACACTTGTAACAGAGCGGCTTGCGCGGGCCGGCTGTGTGCCTCCAAGGCTTGGTTTAATTACTGTTTCGATAGCATCTCTGAAAGACAGTGTTGTTCATCTCTGATGATCATAGACCCGTAACACATTTTTCAAATTTATACCGCCTTGTCACATGAGCATACTGCTATCAGGTGCCACATCCCACCACCCTGAAGCAGAAGGGAGAGCTTGTCCCAGCCACACGGACAGACGGCAGCTGACGCAACACCCCTGTGTTCCTGGAGAAAGCCTGAGGATCGATCCTCGCGTCTGAGATGATACAGAAACCAGGACCGCAACCGCCAAGGCAGCCGGCGGCTCCCACCTCATGGGCAGAGGACCAGAGCCACACGGCGCCTCCAGCCAAGGACACTAAAGCCCGTGGCTGATCAAGACCATCAGTACACTCCTGGCAAAGTTACAGGTGAGCTCAGATGACCCACGCTGAGCCTCATTCTGAGGTTGCAAAATCTGGGCTGACTGAGCACACCCGCAGAGGTTCTGGAGAAAACATCCGACCCTGCCATCCCCCTACTCTCGGAAAATCAACGAGACTGAAACAAAACACCACCCCAAAGCCTCTCCAGTAAACCTCCCTGAGAGACTCAGGGTGAAGCCCCTCCCCACGGACACAGCGGGAAGCAGAGGCACACCGCCGCCTCCACGTGGGAAGGACTCAGAACACACGGACCCTGCTCCGTCACAGGGGGGGTTCACGCCTGACAGCTCTCCGGAGTCCAACAGCAATGCCAGATCAGCACACAGGGGTCCCCGGAACCGAGGACAGCGAGGGGCGCTTCCGAAGGGATTTTTTTTTCCTGCCCCTTCACTCGTGAACAGGTACAGCTAAGAGTGCAAGTGATTTCAATTTAAGTAAACGATTCTTTCTGGACAATTCCATGGCAATCAACTTCATGGCAGGGAACAGTGTAAACGTTTTACCTGCAGGAGCAGGCACTCTGGTGCAGCAGTTGAAACGCTGCTCGGGACACCTGCATCCCCATGTTGGAGGGACACGAGTTCGAGTCCTGGCTCTGTGCCCGCTTCCAGCTGTCTGCTAATGCACACACTGAGAGGGAACGTATGATGGCTCGAGCTGCTGCCACCCAGTGGGAGAGCAGCATGGGGTTCCCCGGTCCTGGCTTTGGCTTGGCCTCGCCTCGCTCCGGTGACTGCAGGCACTTGGGGGAGTAAGCAGGTGGTGGAAGGTCTCTACCTTTCAAATACGGCCACGAGGGGAAACCACGGGTGCCGGCAGTGCTGAGCGGCTCAGCCACGATGCACAGGACAGCAGGTGCACTCTAGGCGTTTTAGACTCCTGCAACACCATCGGAGGGCAACAGGCAGGTATCACTGGGACCAACAGCCACTGGAAGACACTGGAGAGGGACCAACCGGCTCTTGCTGAGAGCTACTGCGCAGGCAGCTGCCTTAGGCAGGGAGCCGAGTCGTGCAGGCTTCAGGCATCAGAGGACAAACTTCGTAGCTGGGAGTTGACAGGGGCTTGCACCTACAGGAGGTGCTGACAACGAGGGAGGCTGTGTGTGTCCAGGGGGTGTGTGAACTTTATTTTCGGTTCAATTTTGCTGTGAATGAACACTGCTCTAAAACATGAAGTCTACCAACCAACTCCCGAATGACATTCCCAGATAAACAAAAACAGAGATTTTTTGTTGTTGCTGGCAGACTGGCCTCGTAAGAAATACGAAAGAAATTCTTTAGGCTGGAAGCAAGTACACCAGATGGAAATTCTAATCCACACACACACACAGCAAACAGAACTGTAAGGGTAATTATCTAATTCTAAAAGACAGTAAAAATGTATTTTTTTCTTAACTTTTCTCTTAACAGACTTAAAAAGCAGTTCTATAAAGTGGTATGTATCTCATTATATTACTAGACCTAAAGCATACAGGAGGCTATATGTAACAGTTACAAGCATATGTGCCTAGAGCAGTGATGGGAAAGCGACAATCTGACAACAAGAGTTGGAGAACTCAATGTTATGTTGAAGAATGGGCAGAGCAAAGAGATGGAAGGTCAAGGAGGAAGGACCTGGACCACTCTACACGTAAACTGCACCGACATCCACCGGACACCCAACCTGGCAGCTACAGAACACAACCCCCAGCACAGACCACACACACGGCTCTACGAGGAGTGCTAGGGCCCCTGCACCCATGTGAGAGACCCAGAGAAATGTCACAGCCATTTGGGGAGTGGAGTGAGCCAGTGGATGGGAAATGGGAAATCCTCATTCTCTCTCTCTCTCTCCCCTTCTATTTTTGCCTTCCAAAACAAAGGTACGGGGTACAGCAAAAGCGGTGATGAGAGAAACTCCGAGTTGCAAGCACTGGCTCTTAAACGGGGCAGGGCACGTGGCCGGAGCGCCGCAGTTCCAGTTCCCGCTGCACTCTGCAGCTTCCTGCCAGCAGGTGCCTGGGAGGCAGGAAGTGGCTCAGGGCTCAAAGGGTTGGGTTCCCGCCACCCACGTGGGAGACCCAGATTAAATTCCAAGCTCCTTGCACTGGCTTCACCTAACCCCGCATTGTGGGCACTGGGGAGTGAACAGTAGATGGGAGGTCCCTCTTTCTTTCTCTCTCAGCTTTCCAGATACATAAAAACTCTAAGAAAGATCTCAAATCAGTAACCTGTGTACCTTAAGATACTAGAAAGAGAACATAAAGCAAGCAGAAGCAAGGCAATAATAGAATTAGAGTTGAATTTAATAAAATAAAATATAGAAAAGTATTTTAAAAAGCAAGTCTTTTTTAAAAGATCAATAAAATTAAAAAGTTTTAGCCAGACTGATCAAGAAAAAGGTGAACAAATTACTAAAACCAAGAATAAAAATGTTAAACGTCATACAGAAATAAAAAAATACAATGCTCTGAAGAAGTACATACCAATGATCAGATACGCAGATGAAATGGACAAGTTTCTGAAAGAACAAATTTCTATTCAAACTAATTAAAGAAAATCTGAATAGACCCTCAAGAAAAAATGATCGACTTAGTGATAGATGAATTCTCGCACAGAAGTAGATGGCTTCACTGGAATTTTATCAAATTTTTTAAGGAATACCAATCCTTTCAAAGCTCTCCCAATACTTAGGAGAACTCCTCACAATTCAGGTTATGAGGCTGATATTACCTTCATGCCCAAACCAGACGAGGATATCACAAGCAAAGGAACCCACAGCCCAACACTTCCTCTGAATACCCTCAGAGGACACCAGCAGAGTGAATCCAGCAGCATACAAAAACGACCACGACTTACAACTTACTGTGTGAATAAGCAGCTCAACAGAACAGAGGGAGGGGAGTGATTACAGGTCATTTCAACAGATGCACACAAACACACGAGAAACTAAATAGCTCTTCACGATGAAAACACTCAGTAAACCAGGAACTGAGGGGAGCCTTCTCAACAACTTACAGGGAAACATGAAACACAAATTCACACCACACTCAGTAGAAAAACAAAGGTTTCTCCCTAAAATCAGAAACAAGTCAAGAATGCTTATAACTGCTATATCAGTGACTAAACAAGATACAGAAATAAAATAAACATCTACATTAGAGAGAAGGAAGCAAAATTATCCTCATTTGTCAATGACATGAACTCCTAAGTAGGAAACCTTAGGGATCCCATCAAAAAAGATGAGCCAACAAGTTCAGTGAGATTAACAATATGATATTAATACAGAGAAATCAACTGAATTTCTATACAGTAGCAATGCTCAAACCAAAGATAAAATTAAGAAAAGTTTCATTTATAATCAATAATTCATTTAGCATCAAAAGGGAAAAAATGGAAAATTGACAAAAGTGCAAAACTTATATACTGAGAAAAATAAAAAATTGAGAGAAATTAAGTATCTAATTAAATGGAGCCACTCCATGTAGCAGAAGCCTTAGGAGTGTTAATAGGTAATACTCCTCCAATTCATTGAAAGAATCAATGCAATCCCTATTACAATTCCATTTGTTTCCTTTGTAGAAATTGGCGTGCCAATCCTAAAATCCAGAGGACCATATGGTCTCAGCATAGCCCAAATGTCTTCAAAAAGGAAAAGAACAACACTGTAGAACTCATACTCCTTGATTTCAAAGTAATCAATACAGTGTGACAAGGGCAAAAAGATCAACGGAAGAGAACAAGGAGGCTAGGAAAAAGTGACTTTCAACATGAGTGCCAAGACCGCTATATTAATGTTTTCAAGGACTGCTACCGAACAACTGGATGATCTAGACATAAAAGGAGGCCCCAACCTCACACCATACACAAATTTAACTCAACTGCATAAAATCCTACACATAGAAGAGTTAAAAGAAGACTACAGACATGCAAACTGTGACCTTGGATTAGGCCATGGCTTCTTGGACACAGCACTGCAAATGAAAGCAACCAAGGAGAAAACAGATATACTGGACAC